TAAGTGGATACATAAAATTCTCAAGTAGAAGTATGAGGATCCATCGAAAAATGTTACGCATGAAATCTTTGGTATCTCGTAGGTTAGATCAATCGATGAGGACAAATACAACATCCATGTTTGACCGTTGTTGAAATGGAATCTATACTTGTTCTTTAAGAATCAGGAATACAATCAAGAATTGCATGAATAGTTGAAATGGTAAGTTCGAGCTTTTTTTTAAGACACAACATGCTAAAAGTTGGTTGCCCTTAATTAGATAAAAATCTTAAACCTTATGGAAGATCCAAAGTGACACTTACGTCGTTGAATGAAAATATAATGTGGGTTTGATTAGGGATAGGATTATACAAGATAGAGATGGTGTGATTGGTGATGAAGATTTGGTAAGTGAAGGTAGCGAGAATAAAGGTGGGTAAGAGATGGAAACCGATGGTATAGATATTTTAATTAAATATTGGATGATGCATTCAGGTTTACCCCCATTTTTGTGGATGAACTTTTGGAAGACAAAGTTTGTAAAGGAGAGGGAAGGTTGGTTGAGGGGTTTAGGTAGGGTGGTGAGTTATTTGATAAACTCATAAAACTTTATTTGATCGATGTTTTGTTTGAGATTGAAAGAAGATAATCATGCATGTTTTTAGGCAACTTAGGATGGCAGGATTAGATTATAAGTGGAGATGAAAAGATAAGGATGTTGGTGGTTTTGTATCATCAATGTATATTTAAGTGTAATGGATTGACTTTTTTTACCAAAATTCAATCTTGATGAATATTAAACAAATAAGGAAGGTGTGGAGTGCACACTTGTTTAAATTTATTTAAGATTCAAAATAGAATGTCATTTAGGGGGGAAGCCCCTAAACGAACAAGGGTCGGGGGGCAGCGCTCCTGGGAGCGGGGTCCAAAGGGCAGAGCCCCTGACTTGACAGTTTTCAGACAAATGAACTACTTAATCTTTTTGGTCATCATTTTTTCTGGGTACATCAACAATCACGAAATTCATAACAACCATATAATATGTTCTTGCTCTCAATTCTGAGTCTTATCTAATTAAAGATTGAGAGTACCACCCAAATACTTTAATCTAAAAGTGAAACCACAATTATCATAATTTCCAATGCTATTTTTATCCCGATTTTCTTACAAAGGACATGTTTGTATATGAGGAGGATTTGAAGGTATTTTAGTTCTAAGTTGAGAATGAAAAGGAAACACGGTCGAGTATTTGAAGCAACACATAATTGAAAGTGGGATTTTCTTATGCTTTAATGGACTACCAAGCAAGATAAATCCTAAGTTCAATGTCACACCCCATTCCCAGGACATTATATTGCTATACTCAACATATAACCCTTACCAATTTTTGTATAACATCTGGGCGTTATATCACTATGCTAAAAAAAAAAAAAAAAATAACGTAATACAAAATTTTCTAAAATTCATTCGAATTTAAAGTCTCCATCTAAAAGCATCATCTGCAAGGAAACTAGGAAACTGTAACACAAACCTGCAAAGAGTAAGTTTCCAATTTGTTACGGAATTTTGAAATATAATCTCCCTATTCTAATAACAGAATAGGATTATTCTCTTTTTGTCGTGTCACCCTATTGATTCTTTATTTCAAAAATTCCATTCTAATTACATTAAATTAAGGAGATATAATTTTATGTATTTATTGAAATCAATGATTATAATTTTATACAACTAAAAAAATATCTCTTAATTAATAATTTATTTAAAATAAATGATTAATAATTTTGAGTTTTTAATATGAAAGTTTAATTAATTTTGTAATTGTGGCTCCCACGGGTTATATAACTAGTGTTGTAATATGAAAAGAGTTAAAGCAAAGTGTTATAATAAAAAAATTAATAAAACTACATTGCTATTTCTTTCATTTAAACACTTACGCTTATTTTAGTTTTACGGGGTGAAAACACAACACATGAAATTTGTTACATCCAACAAGCTTGAAAAGGTTTTTTAACGTCTTCTGTGTTGCCTTAGGTGAAGGAAAACGAGTTTACATTATGTTCGAATACAAGCGAGAGCGGTATGGAAATATAATCTTATTTATGGAGAATTGTAAAATCTGAATGAATTTTCTATAAATCATGGCATCCAATTATTACATACTCAATGCCCTAAAGTATACGAGTTTATACCATCGCTTTATAACGATTAATAACCTTTTTTTCTATGGATTACATCTAAAGTAGATACAAAACTTGAATTTGTTGGTTGTTCAAAGTTAAAAGCTTTAAAGCTGCTTAAGCACAAAGTGATTGATTCCATTAAGTGTTGGAATGTAGTTCTGTATAGCTATTGTGAATGCAAAAGATACATGTAAAACATCAAATATAACAAGGTTCATATACATTGTGTTTTCATCTTATAAAACTAAACATAAAACATATGGATAGATTTTCATATATAACGGCCTAATACGAAACAAAATTAAAAGTTACTCTTTGCAAGCATGAGGTGGAGCTTGTTG